ATGATCCCCTGGCCCTGCCCTTTACCGGGGAACTTTTGGTACTTGATAGCTGTTAGGGGAGGGAGAATCATTGTCTTCTAGAGATGTGGCCCCTGGTAAATTCCCATGTTTCAGTGAATGGACCTACCACCCAGCCGCATAGGCAGCACTAATTAAAGTGGATCTTAAAAAAAATTAAAAGACATCAAGTATTGAGTGAGGTATATTGGAGGAGTCTGAGGAAGTTGGATGGCATGTAATGCTTGATATGATTGCATTTTATTATCTTCATGTATGAAATTCTTAAAAGAAAAAATTAAAAAGAAACTTATTAGGGCTAGGATATGACTTAATGGTAGCATGCTTGCTATCATGCCTGAGACCCTGTGTTTGGTCCCTGGTAACATGGGGAAAAAATGAACAAATTGATGAATAAATGAATGAGTGAATAAAAAGCTAATAAAAGTTTTATCTTTCTTTTGAGGAAAACTAAATTAGCTGCAAAGAAAACCTCTAAGTGTTCACAGAAAACCTGGGACAAATTATCTTCAGAAGGCAAAAAGGGTGACCAGCTAGGTTATAATTACTGCTCGCTATCATGTTTCAGTTTTATAAGGGTAGAAGAAAACTAAGACCTATGACAATAAACATCTCAGAAATAATTTAAAAGTAAAATAAATACAGGATCATTACCTTGAAAAGATAATAGCAATTATAAGAATACATGCTGAGAAAAATTAGCAAAGCCATTCAATTATTTAGTCTCAGGCATGCTTTGAAATCTTTTGAAAATTGGTGATGTATTCATCATTTTCCTTTTGCAAAAAACTGAAAAATAGGACCACATAATTGAGTTAATTACTAGCATTATATATTGAATAAAACGGTTCTTTGAAATAGCATATGCAAATGAAAGACTCTTCTGCAAAAGATATCCAAGAAATAGGTAGGATTGTGAAAGCGGAACTTTCACAGGTCAAATTTAGTAACCATGTCATCTAGGTTTCTAGATTACTCTGAAATGATATTAATAGCCTCATCTTGTTGACTCTTCCTGTAGGATGTGTGATTCTGGGTAACTGGAAGATATATGGGTATACAGTGAAACCACATACAGCATGGTTTATTGGAATGTAATATAGTTTTATACAAGTCTATAAAGGGGAAGTCAATTATGATGGGGATTCTGTACAGCTAGTTGTAAATCTGCAGAGGGTATCACAATGGAGAGTTTCTCTAAACTAAAGCTAGTATATACTGTATTCCACTACAAGAGCAATAGAAAAGAAAACATTCTTAAAATAAAGTCATATGTAATACATATATTATAAATTTATTATCAATATTAATATTGTGGTGTGTACTTGAGATTGACACCAGAGTCTCAGTCATGCTGAGTCAGCACTATACCACTCAGCTACTTCTCAAGACCTGCTTTTTCTCCCCCAAAGATAGTATCTCACTGACTTTCCCTCATTGGCCTTGAACTCACCATGATCCTCTTGCTTTAGCATGCCAACTATCTGGAATTATAAGCCTCTACCACTAGAAACAATATGTTTTAAGTATATCTCATCCAAAAAGGTGGACTTAGTCGGAGAGAAAAATGAAAAGGAGGCCTTGGGGAATCTTCCTTATAAACCAAAATGAGAAATTTAAACATAAACAGTGTGCATTTGACTTAAGTTTTAAAGGGATAATATAATAAAAACTACCAAGACTAAAAATTACAAGTATAAAATAAACATGTCTGGCAGACTAAGTGGAGACTCGGACAGCGACAGAAGGAACACAAGAGGAGGAGCAGGAACTGTACATTGTTGCTGATAAAGAGGAGCTACTACACATCAAAGAGAAGAAAGGGGATGGAGGGAAAGGGGAAGGAAGGGAGGAAGGAGTGGGAATTAAGTGAAGAGGCAAAAGAAAGGAAAAGGAGAGAGAGCCCAGAATTCAAATATGCTGTGAAAGTGGATTTTTTCCAGTATTCAGAATGATTTATATAATTTAAAGCAGGCTTTCATAAGACCGTAAGACTATGAATAGATCCAGACTCCCACAATAGTCTTTTCAGACCAAAAACTGTGGGAAATAACTTTATTATGCAACAGGCTCTTTCACATACTTGTTCAGATAAAAATAGTCACATGCACAGAAAAGCAGTATTTATGGGAATGCTGATGTAACAGACAAGGGGATGGTCAGGTAAGATGTGAGTGAGGCCCTAATTAGGAAGATAATAATATTTTGCCAACAATAGCTGTATTATGTGCTAATAGAAGTCATATTTTAGCAGCCATTGTTGCGATGATCTGGTTAGGTAAGCATCTGCCTTTCATTTGTTTGGCAAAGATTTTCTGAGATTTGTGATTGTGTAGCAGTTGCCTCTTGTCTCCAGCCTGGGTTGTTTCCTGTGCTGTGTTCTAAAACACTGCTACAGAAGAAAGGCAGAGCACAGAGATCAAATGTTCTTACTTGTCCACATTTAAATCTCACCCTCAAACTCTACCAAATTCTCACACAACATGCAAACTCCTGAGCATCCATAAGTTGCCCAAATCTGTGAGCTTTTTGAGAAGTTGTTTTATAAAATCAAATAATCATTTATTTTAAAAAAGATTGTTCTTCAATTATAAATATTATATTATATATAAAAGCATCCAGAGGTAATTGGTAATTTCATACATAGTTCTTCTTCTTCTTCTTCTTCTTCTTCTTCTTCTTCTTCTTCTTCTTCTTCTTCTTCTTCTTCTTCTTCTTCTTCTTCTTC